CGCCAACCTCTATCCCTTTTTCCCCGGTCTCTGGGACTTCTTGGAGCCGAGTTATGAATTTTCGTCGCAAACTCCGCCCACTTTGGTGCGTGCCCCGCCCACCGATAGCAGTTGACCTCCTTTCCTCGCCAACCTCTACCCCCTTTTTCCCGGTCCTCCGGGACTTCTTGGAGCCGAGTTATGAATTTTCGTCGCAAACTCCGCCCACTTTGGTCAAGCCCCGCCCACCGATAGCAGTTGGCCTCCTTCCCTCGCCAACCTCTACCCCCTTTTTCCCGGCCTCCGGGACTTCTTGGAGCCGAGTTATGAATTTTCGTCGCAAACTCCGCCCACTTTGGTCAAGCCCCGCCCACCGATGACAGTTGGCCTCCACTCCTCCACCCACCTCTATCCACCTTTTTCCGGCTCACTAAGACTTCTCCGGCCCGAATTATGAGGACTTGTAGAAAACGCTGTACACTTCAGAGCGCGCCCACGTCATGTATGCTGGGAACACCTTAGACATTGCTCCCTACACCAATTGTTTTCTGCTCTGTAGGCTTTCTCCCAACCGAGTTATGAAATTTTTCATAAAGCACTGCTTTTTTAGAGAACGCCCCGCCCACCGGGGGTGGGTCTCCCTAATTCGATGTGACTTACCAATGCACACCTTTACCCACTTTTTGGCCCAGTTTCGAGGTTGTTTTGTCACTGAAATTGAAATCTTGGTCTTCAGTACAGTTCATTTCGACGCACGCCACGCCCACTGTGGGCGGGGCTCCGCTTAGCTGATGTGTGTTTTGTACTTCGTGAGACCTTGCCCACCCATCCCACACTTGACCCGGTCCCTCCAGGCGGATCCCGAGGAGCTAGGGAATTTCGTGACAGACATACAGAACGACAGACGACAGACGGCAGACAGACGAGACGACAGACGAAGCGCTTTATAGTATGTAGGATCATTTAATACTAGATGCAGCGTGCCAGGGCCCCTTCTCTGTTCACTTTGAAGGTTGGCAGTGGCGTGGCTGTTTCACTAATCTTGAGAACTCTATGATTTTTGGTCTCAATAGGAAGGAAGGACGGAGTTCCCCTACGAAAATAGGGATTACTCTGTAGGCGGCCCAAACAATTCCCCTTCTTCGACCTCCATACTTATCCTGGAATCTTCCTTCAAAGTCTTCGTTTAGCGCTTTTCTTTGAGCTTTCGCAGGCACATCGCAGATTTTTTAGCAACCAGATTGGTCCCCCGGCAACCGCCAGACCCTCCTCGAGCTTGGCATTCCTCGAGGTGACGTGGAATTTTACTCATGAAAAAGAAAAACTTGCAACATTTTGCATAGATCTGGGAAGTTTGTAAGAACTCTACTTTCAGAAAACACCAATTTTCTGGGCATCCAAATCTGCCTACCCTATGAATTAAAAATTAAGCCTTGTAGTAGTATTTATACACGAATACCGACCTCTTCATTTGAAATGTTATATCCTTTTACAATTGCGTTCTTATGAGATGTGATACGAAAATTTTGGGTCTCAGATTTGTGTTCTTTGAAAAAACTTTCAACTTTTGCAATCAATCTCAGAAGAAAAAACGTCCCGTTTTTCCGTTTTTTATGCACATGCGAATTTCCAACACTCATACTTTCATATGTAACATCCATCATCATCAACTTTTTCCAGATTTTTAAGGATAACTAAAGACAGTGGGAGAAGAGGGGTCGAGAAAGCGCTACTAAAAATTTGAACGATCCCTCTTTCAAAAGTCCCGTTTTTTCGTTTTTTTTTCTAGAATTTGTAGGCCGATTTCAAAATGCGCGAGTTTCAACATTCGAACGTTCATAACTTCCTTCATAATTAACTTTTTGCAGATCCCCAAAACAATGTTAGAAACTAGAAGATTAGAGCTTTCGAGGGAGTTTTGAAACGTTTTTGAAAGGTTATTCCTTCAAAAAATAGTCGCGTCGTTCCGCTTTTTCCCTTTATCGCTTTTTCGACCATATTCTTTAGACGCGATTTCATTCTTCAAACAACCATAAGTTCCTTCAAAATCCGTATTGTGGAAAGCGGTAAAAGCCTTCAAAATCTATACGATCAGAATTTCATAGCATGCGAAAAGCATTAAAACGAAAACCTTTCTTCCATAGAATTTTCAAGTAGCCTTCCCGCCTAATTCGCTACACCTTCCTCCACTTTACTTTGGTCTGGAGGCATCGGAATTCTTATATCGTGCTCACTGAAATATAATGCATTTTAGTAAAAATCCAGCCCCGGGTTGCGCCATGTACTCGTCTGAGGTTAGTATTCGCGTGGTGTTTGAAAGTGTGTCCTCCTTTGCCATGTGGATATGACTTGGCACCTTTAAATTCTGTGATTGGGCTTGTGGTAAAGACCCCTCCCCCTTTCGTTGGCCAAATACGACCCCCTCGTTTATCATTGCACCACAGACGGCTGACCCTGGCTGCAATACAATGGTGCTACGACTGTTCTGCTCTTTTATGCAGGAAAATCAGACTTGAATAGTAGGCGGCATTACTGCCTATGTTTTCCAGTGTGATGGAGTCTTGTAGAACACCATAAGGTTTATCTCACAATGGCAACAAGGTCAACTTCTTATACTTCGAGTTTCTATCTTTTCATGTTCCATCTTCTTCTTTGCCCGTTCCCTTCGCCATCTTGGCTCGATGGAGCTTTGCTGCTGCCCTAAATAACTACTGTATATTTGGAAATTTCACTATGCTCCACTACTATTGACCAATACCTTGCAATCGTTGTTCGTCTAGACTTATATCCTTCTCTGTAGAAGTGTTTCAGCATCATTTTGCGTTGCTTTTCGTCTACAATCGTTGTTTTATGGGCAATTTTCAGCGT